AAGCTCTTTTGGGAAGCAGTGCCTCAACACTAAAAACATCAACACTTTTTTAATAAAGCAACGCACTCTGAAATGAAGAAGATCCGAGCGTCGTCACCGCATCGGAATGTCACCACGCGGCCCTCGTACGTTCTGGTATCAATAATTCAGAAAATAAATCCTGTGCAGTAATTCTCGATGCTTCAGTGAAAACGCGATGAATTTCAGCCGAAACGACGGCTGAACATCATTGGTCATGATGCACGTGTTATGTCACGTCATAACATGGCGGTTTAACATAACATTGGTCATGGTGCACGTGTTATGTCACGCCATGACATGGCGGTGTAACATAACAACGTTCATGGTGCACGTGTTATGTCACGTCATAACATGGCGGTGTAACATAACAACGTTCATGGTGCACGTGTTTTGTCACGTCATAACATGGCGGTGTAACATAACAACGTTCGTGGTGCACGTGTTATGTCACGTCATAACATGGCGGTGTAACATAACAACGTTCATATGGTGCAAGTGTTATGTCACGACATAACATGGCGGTTTAACATAACAATCGTTCGTGGTGCACGTGTTATGTCACGTCATAACATGGCGGTGTAACATAACAACGTTCATGGTGGACGTGTTTTGTCGCGTCATATCATGGCGGCGTGACATAACACTTAAAATGTCAAATATTCCTGTAACTCTCTACATTCCTCAATTTATAACACAAATTGCCTGTGTCGCTCAACTTTCGACGATTGGTGAGTAGTTTAAGGAAAGTGAAAACGGCAAATTCCTGCAATTATTCAAAGCGAGACTATGTCCATAAAGTGATAAATTTTTTCCTATTGCTTGTGTCATCCTTACCTAGTTTGGCTCGGCAAAATAACATATTAGCGCTACGCTGAAAATGCAGTTGGTAAGAAAATGTGTAACTCTATGGACAACATGACATATTCATTTATTTGAGTGATCATTTACCGTTGAAATCTGGCAAGAATTTACAGTGGAAAGAAACCATAAGTCAACGGAACTTCAGTTAAGAAAGTTTACTGGAGAAAGCAGGCTAGAACTGCACACAAGTACAGAAGTTTCGGCTTCCAGCACCTCAGCTACAAATCAACGCAGCTTACCGTTCATTGCTGCGCTTTACAGTTTAATTCTTCTTTGTTATTAATCGCTACCATCACTTCGCCAGCATCACTACGTTCGCACGATTTTCTCGAACTTTCTCTATCGCAATGACATTTTTTATTATTAATTGACTCTTTATTATAGGATGTTATATAAATTGACTGTTATAACTGTTATATATTGGATGTTCGCACAGCTGAGCTGCAGCACAAATATTGCTGCGGTAGAGCTACAGCACAAACATTGCTGTGTTAGAGCTACAGCACAAATATAGCTCATGCAAGGCAGGTTAACGGCAGTTTCAGTTCAACGGCGCTTCAGTAAAGGCGCTTCTAAATTCTCTGAATCCGTTGCGGGCAATTCAAGTTGTATTAATTTTTTATTTATACATTGGTATAAGCGTATAACTATATATATGTTTAACATATATTTCTTATTTTGATTAATATATTGATTTTTAGTTGTTTAGTTGATGCAAGAGCTTGACGTTGCGTGGAGTGTTCGCTCCACTTACCCGCGACGCGCTCAGCGGCGGCAGATGATGAGACTGCCGAACGTTGCCCGGACGGCGGCCCGGCGTGACTAACGGGAGTGTGGATACCGTGAGGGCTGGTACCGTGCTGAAGTGACGGTACCGTGCTGAAGTGCTGGTACCGTGCTGAAGTGCTGGTACCGTGCTGAAGTGATGGTACCGTGCTGAAGTGCTGGTACCGTGCTGAAGTGACGGTACCGTGCTGAAGTGCTGGTACCGTGCTGAAGTGACGGTACCGTGCTGAAGTGACGGTACCGTGCTGAAGTGACGGTACCGTGCTGAAGTGCTGGTACCGTGCTGAAGTGAAGGTACCGTGCTGAAGTCATTTTTCCACAGTGACTTTCAACCATTGGAATTGCTACAAGATATTAAAATTGCTTTTTTGGTTTATGAGAATTATTACTACGTTTTGTTATTTAGAATAAAAAGAATTGTGAGATCAAATCGAAAGCCAAGCTTTTATTTATGTCAAATTTTTTACAAAAATATGATGCAAGATAAAATCACGCATAAATCTGTGAAAGAGGCTCATAAGCGCAAAAACGCAATAACGGCGGCCGTGTCTTTTCTAAACTTACTATTCATCACAACCAACGATGCACTAACACCGTTAGGCGCCCGACTTCATGTAACGGTTCAGACTCGTGACAGCGGTAACGATGTAACAGATTTACATGCACAGGCCAGAACAACGCAGACGCTCAATGTTATATCCTGAAAACAAAATCCTTCACCAAGAATTTAAAAGAAAAGAAAACGCCCAGTAAATGCACTATATCTTCAGTGAAAACGTTTAAGAAACAATATCTGTAATCAGTTCAAAAATTTAGAGGAAACCGAAAACGGAACATAAAAACCTATCGATAAATGAAAAAGAAGTTCCGTACATGAAATCCTACATGATTGCTCTTGCTGGGACATGTATATTCGTGTGCCTATCACTATATATTCGTGTGCCTATCACTATAGATTCGTGTACCCGTCACTGTAGATTGCAGCGCCCGGACGATACATTGAAGCATCCGGACGCTTCAATGTATCGTCGGACGCTTCAATGTATCGTCGGACGCTTCAATGTATCGTCGGACGCTTCAATGTATCGTCCGGACGCTTTAATGTATCGTCCGGACGCTTCAATGTATCGTGCGGACGCTTCATTGTATCGTCGGACGCTTCATTGTATCGTCAGACGCTTCATTGTATCGTCCGGACGCTTTAATGTATCGTCCGGACGCTTTAATGTATCGTCCGGACGCTTCAATGTATCGTCCGGACGCTTCAATGTATCGTCCGGACGCTTCAATGTCTCGTCCGGACACTTCAATGTATCGTCCGGACGCTTCAATGTATCGTCCGAACGATTCATTGTATAATGCGAACGCTTTAATGTATAGCGCGGGCGCTTCAATTAACAATACAAGTGCCACACAATTAATTGTATTGTGCTCGGCCTGCTTTATCTCCATACTCTTCCGGCGAGCTGCTCTGAAGGATCGGGAGAAAGTGTGTCTCGTTATAAATGCCGTTACCGAAGGAAACAGCAACATGACTTTCTCTGATACGCTTGCAATCGCAGCACTGCACACTACTTAATGTTCCTGGTGTTCCCATTAATATGTTCATGTTGAAGTTTCACCTGTTGTTTGGCTGATGTTCTGACTGATGTTCCATCTGATGTTCCATCTAATGTTCTACCAGTATGATGTTCTACTCGATCTTCGAATGTCGTGAGAATTCTCTCTCATGACAGGTCAGGTAGACCATCGATAAATGTGAACATGAGGTGGAATATGAGGCGGGACTTCAGGCGAAACTTATGCGTGTAGAACGACCATGCACGTACCATGTTAAGCATCACGCACCATATACCTACTTAAAAGTTCAGAATACCAGGATTGGCGCAGAGAGGCGCGGGTTCGATCCCAGCTCTGTGCGCCAGTTTCTGGTCAGAATCGGCGAGGAGGCCGGGCGGTTAAGCACAGCAGAATTGAAGCAGTGAGTTGCGAGTTCGAGACCGCAACATGCTGTGAATATTCTGCGATGTTAAGAATCGGCGACAGGCCTACGGCCTAATAAAACGCTGAAACCGCTATTACTATAACCGCTATTACCATGTTAACAATCATCAACCATACCTATGTGAAGCGACGAGCTTGCAGTCGACTTTCTTCATCGAAATCCCGTTAACATTTTTATACGAAAAAAAAACGAAGAGTAAAAATACGGTCATTGATCACGTCTGATCAATACATACAAATTTAAGAGTAACAAACTAGAGAGTAACAATATAAAGACTGACAAGATTAATCACGACTGAAAATATTAGAGTAGCAAGACGATCATTGATCACAATATGTTCGTCACCACAATCTAGATCGGCCTCAGCACTCGCCGGTTCGGTTGCACTCGCGGCGACGGCGACCAAATCAACTCGAGGCAGACGCTCTGCAGGTTTTTTGCCGCTCCTGATGACACTGCAAAAAAATAATAAGAAGAACAAGCCGACCTAGAGCTGCGAGGCTTCCCTGACCTCTTTGTAGGATGAGCGAACGAAATGTGGCTGAAAAGAACTTGATTATGTAATTAAGAATTGCAAGGAAGAGTGACTTGTGGAAGGTAACTTTTTCATCGACGTTTGCTAGAACTTGGCCGGTTATTTCAACAGCTCTGTATAACTGATGCATCTTAACTGTATAAAGCTTCGTGTGTTAAAGCTCTGCTTGACAAGCGAGAAGCCGTTGAGTTTATATCAGGTTCAGGGCTTTGGTAAATTGCTTTCAACTTATAATTGTTATGAATACAGTCTCATTTAATTTAAATTGCAATCGTAAACAATTACAACATTTTGTGTTCAACTTCAACCGAGTTCATCTTAGAATATTTTTAGAGGATTAAGCATATATCTGGAGATTGTATTTTTAATAAAAACATTAAATGAATACATTAATTTAAGTATGTCAATAATTTGGATGTAAATATTAAATTTAGGGTTGCCTTCCGTGGGGTTTATTTATTATTATAAATAAAATTGCTCCAAATGTTTTCGTTCAGAACCAAATCATCTTAAATCAAATTTTAAGATTTATAAAATATTTCGCCAAACTATATATTAGCCCTTCTTTTCTTCCCTTTATTTTTGGAAAAGGAGAATTCTCCATAATTCACAGAGAGCATTGAATATTTTACTCAGAGCGCAGAGAACGTCGTTTCTATGCCCTCTAGGAGGCCCAGACCACAGAAAATTTTGATTGGCAATTCACTATATCTATACTTGACTAAAAATCCTTCTCAGAATTTGAGTTTCACACGAGTCTTTTATATTTTAATTAACTTCCTTATGTTTCAGATCCACGCAGGTTCAAGTCTTCGTGTAATTTTATTGGTTTTGGTTTAAATTCGAATCGAACGTTTAAATGCTCCTCAATGCAATAGCTTTAGATCATCATTTTCATTTTGATTTTGAATACATCACAGCAAATGTAACAAATTATTTATCGTCAGGAAGATTATTTCCAAAAAGTTCCTAATTACATAGTGGACCTCACAAGATTGAAAATGGCAAGCAGCTTTCACGGCATTTCGTTCTTCTTTGTGAGTATCGACGAGCCTTTGAAGGAAACCGTCACCTGTCGCGACCAATTTTTGGCAATTATATATTTTGATGGCTGTAAACCCCCCAGAAATGAGGTGGTGAAGATCTCATCCTAATATAGACGTACATTTTCGAGGAATATACGAAGCACATTTGACATGAAACTTGTTGTTTCACAAGAGCAAAATGATTTCATTTTGAGCGTCCGAAATAATCAAGTTCCTCGAAAGAGACAATGAATTATTTCGCGTTTGCAACATAGCTGTGCACTCCTGAACAATAATATTTCTACGCGGATTGCGTTCCAGAAACTGATTCATTATAAGTTTTAAAATTTAATGGTTTCTCTTTCCGAGTGGAGCATTTTTTTATATCGCTCAAATAGTTAGTTTCCCTTCAAAAAATGATTAGAAGGTGTAATATAGCCCCAAAGCCTTATTGCATCTATTCTGTTTTGTGAAAAGTTTAAAATTCATTATAACACTGCGTAGACAAAGAATGATTATAATAAAACAATTATGTTTAGAATCTATCCGAAAATGACATAATTTAGAACCAAGTTCTGATTAGATTTTTTTCAGGTGTTCGTCACGTTTCTGGCAACATCGACGACAGCATTCAACAATTTACCAGCCGAAGACGAGAACCTGTCCTCCGGCACCAACATAACGAAAACTGCCACCATCTTCCAAAATAAAATGAAAACAATGGGAAATGGAAGTGAAACAAACGTTTCTCAAGTGCCAGAGAAGTTGACTGCTAGAGCGAGAGATGGTCGCAGTGTCTGGACAAGCGCCGAAGACACCACAGAAGCAGTAACAACGAAGACCTCCGATGCAGATGAGCTGCCGGAGGAGCTCCCAACACCTGCTGCTTTAGCCATCCCCGTCCCGTCTTTTCTTGCCAATCTTTTCTCTGGAGTAACGAACCGCGAGTCACGACCAAGCCGGGTTCGTCACCGGGAAAATTATAGATCTAATCTTCAACCAGACCAGATTAGCAGGTACGATGGGCAAAGGATTCAACAAGTTGTTCCGTATCCCACAAGGACGCTTCCTAGAAAAGTCTACCGACAGAGGCAGGTTTCTGGGTCACTACCCGACGACTACCAAGACTATGACCCTGTCTTCCAAAGGCAGATACCAACTAGGAGGGCTTCCTTTGGCCATAATAGGGCGTATCACAGAGGACAAATGCAGGACTATGATTCTAACAATGGACGGAATGAAGTCGCCATCAACGATAAATACGATTTCGTCACGGATGCTTCAAACTTGCCCAAAGTTGAGCTGCCATCAAAAAACCGCATTTTGGATTCTGCTACTTTTAGCGTTCCTTTGTCCTCCCAAGTAGAAGATCAGAACGCTTACTCTCTAATGGATAAGGCCCGAGGAACGGGTTTTGGATCTGCAGTAAACTATGGTGATAGTAGGTTTGATATTTTGGATCATAAATCTCACATACATTCGCGCAAAGATATCAGCTTCGATTATGATGACAGCCAAAATACGTACGAAGAATATGATTACGACAGCCTTCCTAAACAAAATTTTTATCAATCTTTCGAGACTCCAAAGTTTAATGTCCAAGAAGACGGGAGTGGAGTTCTGAGTGGCTTATTTAGCTCAGTTCAGTCGTTGAACCCTTTGAACTATTTTGGTTCTTCTAAAGTGGCTGTAGGGCCTCCAGCCACGCGATCTGGCCGGCGTAGAGGACATCAGCTTCATGGACCGCAACGAGCTCCTCAGTTGAGTGTAAGGCCTCTGTCTCATGAAGCTGTAACGGAGAACGCAGCGTTCACAGAATACATCGACTTCAGTGAACTTGAGCCCTTCTACAGTACCGAAAATCGGAGGTCAGATGAACGCAGGAATCGAGTCAGAGCAGAGCTACCTCCAGGGGTAAGGCACCTGGAGCCGCTGTCTAAAAAAATACAGACACGTCGGAAACCTCATTACACATTCAGGAATAAGCAAATTCCAAATGAAGCGGAAGGCCGCCGCGTCTACGCTATCAGTAACGAAGAAGTGATCTTTAACGACGCTCCTCATTATCGAGGCGTGACTCCTGAACAGAAGGAACATCTTGCCAACGATTTCATCGTGAATATTCCTTCGAATGAGGTTCAGTTCGAGGACGATCCGGTAGAAGAAGACCCCAGGCTGGAGGCATCCAAATTCAAGGAAGATTTCCCTCTTCGGGAAGATCTGTACGTAGGTAAGGACGGTAATATTTATTTGAAAAATCCGAGCACTAAAAGCAAAAAAGCAACGGCCACTGATTCTGACGATTTTCTGGGGCTGCACATGTACGGTATGGACCAGCCACTGTACCAAGAAGTGCCCAAGCCTCAGACAAGATTCGTAAGTTACACTTCAAATGAGGCACGAAAAGGAAAGCAAGGCTTTGACAAGCGTAGACCACATCCGGCAGCTCAATCTCCGGTGCAGCCGTCGACAACCTCAAATAACGGGCGAATGGATTCCGCTGATCTTTCGTCAGACGATGAAATTCCAAAACTGGGAGGCCGGTCACCGCACGTGGACGCGGCAGAGGCGCCCTCCGCAGCTTCCCCGAACTTCGGTCGTCCGCTGGAGGCAACGCGTCGCAAGCCATCGCCTCGGTTCCCAGCTTCCGGCCAGAAAACTCCCTATGTTTCGGATTTCGCAAAAACTTTACTGAAAGTCCAAAAGACGAAAGCAAGATCAAGTGAAGTACAGCAAGAACGATCCAGAACATTTCGGCGCATGAAGGATTGAAAAATAAGATGTAACTCTAAGATGATCAATTAAAAATTCATTGAAAGGAGGCATTTCTCGTAAAGAGCCGCTAGCTGAATCTATGATAGTCGATAAAGAGTGATCGGTTTTCAAGACATGGCATTCGGACCGATTACATATCGCGCTAAAAATTAATTAAATTGAATAATGAATAATAGAGCCTCTGGACGTATCAACTATCAACGCCTTTCTTTCGTCGCCGGCTCAATGATTTAGGAGGTATTGGATATCAAAATATAGAGGCATGCTCAAGAAACAACTTGCTAGTTAAACATTATTAGCACGCTGGTGTCGAGAGAATGTACATGCACTTTATGGTTCAGTTATTGTTATTTAGTGGGAAGAAAGGGAACGACTGCAGCAAGTCGTTCAATTATTGTTCATGAATATTATCGATTTATTTATTGTTATCAATTTGGTTTAGTTAGTTCACCTTCGCTGTACGTTTTATTTGAGGCATTAAAATAAAGAATCTTTATGATATCCATAAGAAGTTGACTTTAGAATGTAACAATTGTTAATTAAATAAGGAACTTATAGATATATACCATATATACATACGGTAATAACAATCGACGAGGAATGCCGAGACCGAATTTTGCTATAATTACCCTGGCGTTTTCCGTGCTGATTATTACAGCAATAAACCTTGTAATGTAAGAGTCGGATAAGCTACAATTGTCACTCCGACAATTAAAATCTATTTTCAAATGTGAATAAATCTACAATTAATTTAGTATTGTATGGAAAACTTCTGAATAGATGGGCTGAATAAGCAACTATCCCCAGGATTTCTGTGTGGAAACAAGTGCGAGTTAAACAGGTTAGAACAAGTTTTTAACAAGTCAAGAAATCGCACGCTACATGTTTATGATATTTATTAAACGATTTTTTCTGTCTGACACAACATGAAATTAAAATTGACTTTTATATGTAAACGATAACACTAATTTAAATGAAGTTCTCATTTTTCCTACCATGAAAATAAGAAAAACTTTCGATGAGAATCATGTCTGGAAAAATCGAGGTTTTAGTTTAGTTTAGTTTAGTGGCCAAATGTTTACTAGCGCTTCAGCTATTTAGCTATCTCGCACCGAAAGTCATGATGAACATCACCATAGAGGTGCTGGGTCTCAATTATTCATCACCCACAAGGGGCGGAAGGTCTCAGATGTCCAGCCCGCTGAAGCTGGCTCGAAAGAAGCAGCGTTAGCATCTCAAAGAGACGAAGTCACAAGAAGGGACAGGTGAAAAGCAACAGAAACGAAGACACTCGAACAAAAGGTCGCTTACACGGGACGTCGGCCGCCCGCACGAGAGAGACAGAGAAGGGAAATGTAAGGGCTCCTACCTACATAATAACTTAACCCCACAACTGAGACCTGCAATCAGACACCGCGAGCTCAACGGTGGGGCGCTCAGGAACAATCCCCCTAGGAACGCGAAATCCCATAGGACTTCTGACGCGCACAGACACGCGTCAGAAATCCCCCCTGAGGGGGGAAAAATCGAGGGATCAATTTCTTGTTTTTATGTGGAAAATCCTCGTTTCCAGATATCTCTGGTCGAAAATTGTTTGACTAATTCATTGAAGGAACTGGAACAGCTGACCACATCTCCGCTTGTAAGGCAAAGCCATTCGCATTAAGTCAACTTTAAGCAATAACTCCGCTCACCACTCACTTATGAGAAGCCACTCACATATAGTAACCACTCACTTTTATATTATAGCAACTCATGGTAAGTTTACTCAGAACCAAAGCCCGATAATAACTGCTCCAAAGAACACATATAACAATATACAAACATTCTAACTTCGTTCATAAGAACGTTGCGTCTAACACAGAAGACATGCGTGCAGACAAGACCCGTTCGAGAAAAGTGAACTGTCTGCCGCTTTTTGTCCAATTTTGGTATAATTTAAGGAAGAAAAGTTCCAAGTCACCTTTACGTCCTTTATTAATGAAAGCATCGCTACAATTTTCAAATTTGTTCCGATATTACACAAACAAACCTCTACAGACGACAAGAAATTTGTCACGCTTTTTATTCGATGCAGAATAAAAATAATTTGTACTTTTAACACTCGCTATGCTGTTCTGCAAATCCGTGAAGTTAATCTAATATTTTACATCACTGTTCTTACTTGCAAGTTCCACCAAACGAAATGATCAAGGCAACGCAATCGATGTTCAGTAATTGATTAGCCAGGAAATGTGTTATGGTTCAAAAAAACAATAAAACTGATTCAAATCCATTTAAAAAATTAAATTAAAATCAAATCAAATATGCTTGTGCACGCAAGTTTGAAATTGGCATAGAGCGTGACAGCGAGTCTATTAAAAGAAGTCAAATAAACGCCAAGGAACACCTGACGATTCCACTTCAACAAAAATTTTATATCATGTGCCTTTGGTTATTCCATCTAATGAAGAAATTAACTACGAGAAAATGACGGTCAGTCATGTAGGGAAGTGAGTAATCGAGTCTCACTGTAAGTTCAATTTCCTTCACACAACAAATGGCTTCCTGCACTCAACTCAAACCGACAAATGAGAGATTCAAGATCTCAGAGTGCACAATAAATATCGTCTTTATATTTAGTAATAAATTGAATACCGGCGTTATAATCGCAACTGATATTGGTCGATAGTTGAATTGAGATCTCATTTGTCAGTTGCCAGAGACATTGGCTTCAATAATCATTCCATTGCGACCCTCGGCCGCCCCAGGAACTGCCTCCTCTACCCAAGGCATCCCCTCTACCGCCACCGAAGTCCCCTCGGCCGCCACCAAAGTCCCCTCGGCCGCCACCGAATTCCCCTCGGCCGCCACCGAAGTCCCCTCGGCCGCCACCGAAGTCCCCTCGGCCGCCACCGAAGTCCCCTTTCTCCTCGGCCGCCACCGAAGTCCCCTCGGCCGCCACCGAAATCTCCTCGGCCGCCACCGAAGTCCCCTCGGCCGCCGTTGAAGTCCCCTCGGCCACTAAAGGAGTCCCCTCCAAAGCCTCTAAAACCTCCTCTACCGCCGTTGAAGTCTCCTCGGCCGCCGCTGAAGTGCCCTCGGCCGCCTCTGAACACTCCTCCGCCTCCCCTGAAGCCCCTCTGCCCAAACCTCCCTCCTGAAGGAGCGCTGCCGCGGTTGAAGTAGCCGCGCCCGTAGCCTCCCCCGCCCTGGTATGCGCGGCTGCTGCCCGTGTACCCGCCGCCATCTGAGCCACCGACCGGTAAAGTTTTATTAAAATGGCACACATTAACAATTTTAATAATACCTCACCTACTAAGACAACTTCCATTAATGATACGAGTCGCCAACAACAGAGACTCGTCGCTCATAACTTAAAAACAATATTAATGGCCGAAAAGCGCATTGTTGTGTTCAATTACTACATGCAAAATAAAATAAAATATATAAAAATTCTTCTTGAATTCTGGTAATAGGATAAATCGTAGCAAGTGTAGACCGGCAGCATAAACAATACGGCGGCCTTCAACTGTACGACGACACACGATTTAGTTAGCTTCTCTGTCAACAGAAACACGAGTAAATCAGCTTTTCTTCCGAAGCTTTAAAAACAGTAAAATATATCATACAACTGAAGTGAATATGAAGCTATTACACCTTGTCCAACATGATCTTGGTCGGAGAAAATTTTGAGTCCTGCTCGGAATTTCACCAACAAGAATTTCTCACATCCACTACACTTCAACATACTAAAACTCTAAAATGCACGTTTAACGTACACGACAATTGGATCAGGCAAAATAGAACGATATCAACGAGATTGACTTAGTAATAGTTCATTAGAAAATCAATGATTTATTACCGTAAAATTATATTTATACGCAGGTTGGTATGCTGATTAAATGAAACCAGAAATGATACAATTTAAAAAAATATATAAATGACGATTGTCAGGAGTGCCTTAAGGGCAAACATATACAGTATTAGTAGTGCAGACATCACAATATATTCAAGGGACTTAATTAAAGAGCAGGCATAGCAGTATATTAGTCACTTAATTAAAAAGCAGACATCACAATATATCAGTTACATGATTCACTCAGTCACAATCGACGTCGCGACAGGCACGCAGCATTCATAACTACACAGCAGTGAGCCAATGATAATTAAGAACGTGTGTTGTTTATTGAAAGTTCTGACAGTATAACCTAAAAAACGATCAAACTTACTCAGAATCAAGGCTTGAAGTAAAGACTGGGAATAATTTCATTATCCATTATTTTTCAACAATAAAAATCTTGAGTCAAGGAATTTAAAAGCAAAAAATATCACAAAAATTCACCAGATCTTCTTAAAAACGTTTCAGAGTACACTTAATTTTCAGTTCAAAAATTAAAAAAAAAACACTGAGTTAAAATAGTCAAATTAAAAAAATAACTTTCGAATTCTTCTCGTATTCAGCAACAAGGGACATGGAGATGGACTCCGAAACGTTTTCTCTGAAAATAAGGTCAGGTTTCTGTTTACGTGTCCATAACTGCATTACTGACCATCACTGTAAGGACCACTTGAGCGGAGGTACTTCCTAGGAGGTCCGTCCTCTGCACTGGCGCCCTCAAACTGCCGCGGGGGACGCGGGGGGAACTGCTGCTGCAGGTTGTGCCACAAGGGCGGCAGGTCTTCCCGGCCAGCCGTTAATAGCGACAACTGCACGCAACACAAACGCAACATAATTAAATAGCTCGATCTGATGGGGGATGTTCCCTGCCAGACGTTAAATAGCGACACATTCTAGCCTGGTCGAGTCATGATTCGGGAAGTTCAGGAGCTGAAAACCCCGGCGTTTTGCCAGGGCCATCGATTCTTTTAACGCGACAAAACATCAGCCCAATACTACAGAAATGGTTACATCAACAAATAGTGATGTGCCTCTTCATCACAGACGATGGTGGTAGACTGGGCCTGACTGCGTATAACACTCGCTACAACAATATAGTTGAATCAACGGGTCAAATTAAATTGTAACAGCAACAGAGCAAAGTCAACAGAATAAAGGCTAAATCAACAGAATGAGCAATAAACATACAGATCTTTGCTTACCTCTTTAACACAGGCGATGGTGGCAGACTGTATCTGGCTGAGAATTACATTCGCCACAATAATAATAGTTGAATCAACGGATCAAATTAAAGGTTAAAACAACAGCAACAAGAGCCAAATCAAGAGAATAAGCAATAAAGATACATATCTCAGCTTACCTCTTTAACACAGGCAACAGAATAAGGGCTAAATCAAAAGAATAAGGGCCAAATAAAGAGAATAAGCAATAAATATACATATCGTTGGTTACCTCTTTGACACAGGCAACAGAACAAGGGCTAAATCAACAGAATAAGGGCTAAATCAACAGAGTAAGGGCTAAATCAACAGAGTAAGCAATAATGATACATATCTTTGCTTACCTCTTTAACACAGGCGATGGTGGCAGACTGGGCCTCGCTGGGAGGTTCGCTGAGGGACGCGGGGTTCTCAGCAGCGGTGATGAGGAGCGCGTCGATGGCAGGACGCAGCGCCACGACGCTCGCCGCCGCCTTAGCGTTCATCTCGAACTTCAACCATCCGTCCAGCCGCACCTCAAACAACAATACTATAATTACATATACAATAATAGAAATATAATATGGATTGCATGGTATAACAGGGATTAGCGTAGCGTCAGCTGATCCACTGTAAGGAGCGTTGTTTAGAACTCAAAAAGGGATGACGAGGGATGATGGCTTGGATGTCACTGCGCATCATCAACTACATCTGCCTGACATGCTTTGGTAACCGGAGACGATGTAGAGCTCAGGGAGTTACTCAAGGTAACTTTGTTGATTAGGCCGATCCTGACGACTCACTTTATTAGTGCCCACCACGTCCACTCTCCTGGACCCGAACAGCAACAGGTGCAGAGGCGACACCATCGTCGTCTGTTTGCAGGAAACTGCTCTGGTGCGGATCTGGAAATGTGCGTACACACACAATTAATATGAACTTGACTCGTGCGATAACACAATTGTTACCCATCGTATGAAAAAAGTTGTTTATTATTTTCTTCTCTGAATATAATTGTACAAGAAATAATTCAGAGTATAAGATAATAATAAATATTTAACGAAGATAATAATGCAGGAATAAATGCCCGTAACCCCACTCACCTTCTCCCCATACACCAAGAAGGGGATCGGGATGACGATGTCTCGAGCGCTGCAGTTGACAGAAGACTTGTGGATGAGCGCAGACTTCCACTCCTGCGTCAGAACCTGCAGAGGAAACCGTCACTGTCAGGCCAGCTGCTCCTCTATTGTTGCATGAACGTTGAGAGGCGACATGACTGGTTGCATTATCAGGGGAATGAAAGGCGGCCGCCGGCCGCCGCTTAGGGGGAATGCACTTGGGGAATGAGAGATGACACGTGGAGAATGTAAGGGAAGGTGGCATTTGAGGAATGAAAGGAAACGTGGCACTTGAGGAATGAAGGTTAAAGATGGCACTTGTGGAATGGAAGGAAAAGTGGCACTTGGGGAATGAAGGAAACTCCCCTCACCATACGCCTCAATACCCTCCTCTCACCGTATGCCCCAGTACCCTTTCCTCACCACAGGAGTTGATTACTCCTCCCCTCACCGTACGTCCCAATACCCACCCCTCACAGTTCACACCGATACTCTCCCCTCACCCTAGGCCCCTGTAACCACCCCTCACTGTACACTCCGATACCCTCCCCTTACCATATGCCCTGATACCCTCCCCTCACTGTATGCCCCTGTAACCTCCCAAGATACTAACTAAGGCACTACTAACTAAACTAATTATAGATTACCTTCCTCTTGTCCTGGTGGTAGCAGACGTTGGGGTAATACCCTAAGGTTATGAGTGCAGTGATGAGGTCAAGCTGCGGGTCGTCGCCGTGGAAGTCAAAGAACTGAGGCAGCAACGTCTCCTCAGGGAAGCCGCTCTGCATCAGCAGCTCCCGTAGCTGGTTCTGGGCAATGACGATACTATCACTATTGTATACTAATTATTGATACAATACTTTAGATATTATATATTCAATACACTAATTTTTTATAATAGCGCTACAATATTTGAATTTGTACGTTGATACATAGGTTACATACACAACGTGTACATTAAATAGAGCAAGTTTACTTGTACACAATTTAAACTTTTTCAAAGCTAATCATAAATATTATTCATTGACATTATTTATTAATATTAATAATGAATAATATTTATAATCATCGGTCAGTAGTATAGTAGTATTCACTTTTATTTACTCATTATTAATGAATATTAGCCGATCCGTGATACCACCTTTGATTTGTACTGTTATTCAGGCTCAAGCCCTCAACTCAACCAGTTTCTCAGTGTAATTAAAATGAAAACTACTTGTAATGTTAAGATTACACAATTTTTGTTGTTACTTTCGATACCCATACATTTCTATTTAACAAGGCAAGCTTGAACAATAAAAGATCCCAAGGAATAAGCTTTAGAAGAAGAAGAATTCTAGGGCATACCGAGGCTAACTTTACCAGCAGATATTTTACCCCAATTTACCTTCGCCTCCCAAATAACCCAGAGGGCAGCCATGGACAGTCGCTAGTTTTACCACAATTTACCTTGGCCTCCCAGGTAACCCTGAGGGTAAGCATGGACAGCCGCTAGTTCTACCACACAATTTACCTTGGCCTCCCAGGTAACCCTGAGGGTAGGCATGAACAGCCGCTAGTTCTACCACAATTTACCGCTTGTTTCACCACAATTTACCTTGGCCTCCCAGGTAACCCTGAGGGTAGGCATGGACAGCCGCTAGTTCTACCACAATTTACCGCTTGTTTCACCACAATTTACCTTGGCCTCCCATGTCACCCTGAGTGTAGGCATGGACAGTTGCTTGTAGTCGCAGTAGCTGCGCTCAGCTTCCTCGCCACGAAGCCTCATCTTGTCCCACGAAGCGAAGGCGTTCAGCGTAGCGATGTGGTCACTGCAGCGGCTGCCGCTGAACGCGCGCTGGAACGGCGACAAACGCTTGAACTCCGGCGCTGCAAGGTAAAAAGGTTATTAAATATTTCAGAAGAAAGAACAATTTACTGACACATGCCGTCCACAAATTATTGTGGATGATAATAATGATAGTTTTGGTGCAATAGTGATAGTCCGCGAGTAATGAGGATTGTCTGGAAATCCGTTCGCAGTGATGCATTCACAGTCCCGTAAAATTACTAGCACAGACAGCAAATTCAAAAAAATCAAATCAGGATGTATTAGGTTAACGTGTCCACTGATATTTATCATTGGAAGGATATAATAACGTCGGTCTTTATTAATTATATAGAATTAGCGACTCTTGTATAAGAAGCCTAGAATGAGAACAAATACTATTTAATAAGAATTAAACAAAAGGTAAACATAAATATCAGAGGAAATAAATGCAGGCAATAGATGCAACAACGTCATAATATTATTTTGCATGGCAATGTAACAACATCAAATAAATGATAATAACTTCAAGCAACATAGACGTGTGAAGACTGCAATAAATGACAACAAACTAACGTTTAATAAATATCTTGGGTGACGTAGCGGTGTGGGCGGCAAGGGTGCACATGGCAACAATAGAGTAACGTATAACAACAAACTAACGATAATAAATATCTCAGGCGACGTAGCGGTGTGGGCGGCAAGGGTGCACATGGCAACAATAGAGTAACGTATAACAACAAACTAACGTATAATAAATATCTCAGGCGACGTAGCGGTGTGGGCGGCAAGGGTGCACATGGCGTCACCGAGGCCGAAGACGCAGCCGAGGACCGCCATGCGCCCCAGCAGCGGCTCCAGCGGCAGCCGCGCCAGGATGCGCCCCAGCGACGTCAGCTCGTCGTTACGGTCCAGGCACTTCATATCTGCAGGGGCGGAGATGAAACTTATAAGGCATCAAATGGAATATAACGTTTTGAAAACGCGAAATTGGCGCAATAATAGAAAAGCCTGCATTAAAAAATGCAAGCCTACATTAAATTAAATGGTTCAACATTGCTAAAGCACTGAAAGAAACAAGGTTAAAGCTAACAAAAATTAATTATTTATTCAGTGAATAAATATTTTCGTTCTATTCTCCTACAACAAGGAATTTTTTATAAATGGAGAACTCTTCTTGAGTGTCCACTCATTGAAGACTCAAAACTATACATGGAGGAGCGTGTCAATGTCTCGAGTCTTCAACCTGCATTCTATTGGCGACACAAAACCGCGGAACACACAATTTCGACCAGGAAACACGGAACAGTCAAGTTTGACCAGGAAGCACGGAACAGTCAAGTTTGACCAGGAAGCACGGAACAGTAAAGTTTGACCAGGAAGCACGGAACAGTCAAGTTTGACCAGGAAGCACGAAACAGTCAAGTTTGACCAGGAAGCACGGAACAGTAAAGTTTGACCAGGAAGCACGGAACAGTCAAGTTTGACCAGGAAGCACGTAACAGTCAAGTTAGACCAGGAAGCACGAAACAGTCAAGTTAGACCAGGAAGCACGAAACAGTCAAGTTAGACCAGGAAGCACGGAACACACAAGCTTGACCAGGAAGCACGGAACAGGCAAATTTGACTCGGAACTATGGAACAGTCAATATTCTGGTTCTGGTTTCGGCTCTCCGAACCTCTCAAGGAGACCTCAGCCTCGATGACGGCGTCCAAGGGCGGCGCCTGGATCGCCTTAGACAGGAACTCTCCGATGCTGCCGAGGCGCAGGAGTTTGATGGAGAGCGCCACCTCCTGCAGCGGCGTGCGGAACATCTCCGGCGTCATGTGCTCGTCCAGCTGCGCGAAGCGGGCCTGCAAACACCACTTGGAGCTCAGGTTGCGTTTACAGTGCATTGTGCTACCATTGACTCCTTGGGGGGCATAGAAACAACTTTCAACTTCACATAAAGGGCCAGACACTGGAACCAGTGTTGTAAAGATGCTATAAAGTTGTGCGTAAAGCCTGTATTCAAACTCAGACTTCAAGCAATGGTTACAGACACTATTTTTTTACGGTCACTTATTCAACTAATGGTTATGAACATTATTTATCTATTTAGCGCCCTCACCCTGCTGATAAGATGAAAGCAGTAGCCAGGCCTGACACGGCCCGCCCTGCCCTTCCTCTGCTCGAGGTTGGTCTTGGAGGCCCAGACGGTGGCGTAGCTCGTCATGTTGTTGTGCGACGTGAAGAGCTTCATCTTCGCACGGCACGAGTCGATCACGAAGACCACGTCGTTGATCGTAATGCTCGTCTCGGCGATGTTCGTCGCCAGGATGATCTGCAGGAGGTCAGGGACGTGACAGTCTAGTCTGGGGCAGCTAAGAAGCTCATTAAGACTTGAAGCTTCAGTGGGAGCATTGAGATGCGTGCGAATAATTGCGCAGGTCTAAAGATCAACGGGACATAAATGACAAGCAAGTCAATAATTTAACTAGATTTTGATATAAATTGTGCCATGAAAATTTTAAGTTGAACGTATATAAATTGCTCTCGAAATCAATCGATCTCCTTGGAACATATTACTACCAACCAGCTCTCGAAAATCATACATTGCAACTGGAATTAATGTCTAGCTGATTAACATTCGAAGTCCCCGAACTTGATAATTTATGTTAATTGCACAGTTATGACACCTTGGTGACGCCCTCGGGCACGGGCGCTGGTGCCTCACCTTGGTGACGCCCTCGGGCGCTGGTGCCTCACCTTGGTGACGCCCTCGGGCGCTGGTGACTCACCTTGGTGACGCCCTCGGGCGCTGGTGCCTCACCTTCTGGTGACTCACCTTGGTGACGCCCTCAGGCACGGGCCCTGGTGACTCAACTTGGTGACGCCCTCGGGCACGGGCGCTGGTGACTCACCTTGGTGACGCCCTCGGGCACTGGTGACTCACCTTGGTGACGCCCTCAGGCGCTGATGCCTCACCTTGGTGACGCCGTCGGGCACAGGCTCAAACACCCGGCGTTGGTCTTCACGCGGCAGCTGCGAGTGTAGGGGCAGGAAGACGTACAGCCCACCTCCTGGGGTCATCCGTGAAATTATCATATGATTTACTAGCAACATTTAAGGCCAAGAATGAAGATATCATGACAAAGGAATTGACATCCCGCGTAAAGTAACATACCAAATAGTTGGAAATTTGTTCATGTTGTATCTGATTTAGTCTGAAAATTGCAAAGGTCCAAAATTACAGAAAAATAAATATGCACCATGACTCTCGTGCAGAAATAAACGTTCTCAACATTCAATCGTTCAAAGTCAAGAAAATAATATTATTCCAATTGAAACCAGCAAATGGGATATAAATAATCCCATGATGAGGAAGCAAATAATCATTTAAAAAAGAATTCAAGATGCACATAAATTGCATAGGTTTTTATGAGAGAAACGCACTGAGGGAAGGACACTGCGAGAGCGCGCGCATCATGGAGAAGATGACGTTCCAGCCCGGCAGGAAGATGAGCACCGCGCCCGGCACCTCCAGGGTCCTGATGTACAGCAGGATCTTCTCCACCACCTGAGGAGGGAAGGACATGAGACTTGATGTACAGCAGGATCTTCTCCACCACCTGAGGAGGGAAGGACATGAGACTTGATGTACAGCAGGATCTTCTCCACCACCTGAGGAGGGAAGAACAGATGTCCGTATCAGCCGCGTGGTCTGGTGTCGTTCAACCTTCGGTTCACTGCAGGTAACTATCATCATAGAACTTTTAAAAAATAATAGCATTGGCCGCTGGCTCAAGACCAGAGGCTAGAAGACCTCTTGCCCGTTAACAACAGTTATCAGTAGACGGAGACTCGGAAGGCGCCTTGTCTACTTGCGGTAACTCTTGCCAAACAGCCTGTAGGTGCGAATACCTAACACCGTTATAGTCAGTCCAAGGGTTGACCTCTTGAAAAGCCTTGCATTACAGGTGAGCAAGAGTTAAATTCAGCTCGTCCGCAGCTACTGGCGGAAGATTTCCTAGAAGAGGGTATATATAATTGATATTTCAACATTTCTTCAGTTAGTAATCACTTGAAGATCTCTTCTTGTAAGAAAAATTCAACCGTCAATAGCACATTAGTCTTTTCTGCACTTGACTCGAAATGCTTTAATTGAAACTCTGGAATACAGTTCAGTTGCAAATCAGGAGAGATTGCAATATTTACAACATTTTAATGTATTGAATAAAATATCTGAAGCTGTGTTGAAGAATCAGAGAATGTCACACTCGAAACACAAGTTGAAATGTAAGTCTCAGCTCAAAGTTGAAGCAGCACAAGTTAAAAAAAGAAGTTTCACCTCGAAGTTGATGTCTCGCTCGCTGATGCTGGCAAGGCTGGCGATGGTGGCGCTGCTGTAGTCCGTGCCGGGGTTAACGATGAGGTTCAGGTTCTCCTGCGGCTCCTCAGGAACGTCCTCATCTCGCTCCTGCAGGATTAATGCACACTAGAGACGACATTAGAGACAAGAGCAACAACACTAGAGATAACTAGAGGAAATACAAGACAGCTAGAGACGGCACTAGAGATGATACTAGAAACAAGAAGAGACGGCACTAGAGACAAATAGAGAAGTAAGCTGACCCTAGACTTGGACTTCTTGCGGTTGTCAGGCGTGGGCACGAAGGCCGTCATCTCGATGAAGTCCTCGAGGAAGTAGTGGGTGACGGGGAAGGAGCGGCCCTCGACCTCCACCACCGCAGGGTTGCCAAAGTAGTCGTGGAAAAGTGAGATGTCGATAGTGGCCGACATCAGCACCACGCGCAGGTCAGGGAACGCACGCACCTGTTTCAGAGGCAACAGGTTATAAACAGGTATAAACTAATCAAAAAAGGACATAAACAGAGAACAGGTCACACAGGCAAGAGATCATAATTAGGGAACAGGTTATTAACAGGTTAGATGGCAGGTCATAAACAGGTCAGGGTCATATAAATAAATATAATATCCTTTCCTCAAATATACAATATAAGGAAAAGTATATGACAAAAATTCTAACGTCCACAACACAGCACAGCAGAACAATTAGAACGTCCACAACACAGCACAAAATAACAATTAAGGACCAGAAAATCAAAGCACAGTCCTTAAAATCGCACAGAAAAAAGCTGCTATAAAGTGAAGTTAAAGATTCTATCAACCATTGCAATTGTAAAAATTTAAGATTCTTTTGAAGCTTCAACCCAATACAGACTACGACAGTGTGGTGACCACGCATCACATCACAACAGTGTGGTGACCACGCACCACATCCCTGAGCACGACAGTGTGGTGACCACGCACCACATCACAACAGTATGGTGACCACGCACCACATCACAACAGTTTGACCACGCACCATATCCCTAAGGACGATGAGGCACGCACCATATCCCTAAGGACGATGAGGCACGCACCATATCCCTAAGGACGATGAGGACAAAGTCAGTGTTAATGTCGCGCTCGTGGATCTCGTCGACGATGACGTGAGACACGCCGCGTAGGCCTCCCTCGAGACGGCGCAGCAGGACGCCCACCGTGCAGAACAGGACGCTGCCGTACGGTCGTGGCAACGCGCTCTCAAATCTGCACATTATTATATATTTATATAAAAACAGAATTCCAAAAGTGGATAAATTAATAATTTGTAGCAACAAAGTAAAAAAACGAACTAAATACATTATACTATTCCTTGTGAAACAATTGATACCTACTTTAAATGACCTGAGGATGCAACTCGCGGGAGGGGGATATGAGACCTTCGACATATAGCGTTTTGGTTATTAGGATATCATCGTAGGTATTCATCCATGATATGAACGGATGATAAACCTTGATATGAACGGATGACAAGCACGACAAGAACATGAACATGAACAGATGACAAGCACGATATGAACGGATGATAAGCACGATATGAACGGATGATAAGCACAACATGAACGGATAATAAGCACGATATAAACAGATAAGTGAGCCATCACCTGACGGAGTAGCCGATGGACTGGCCCAGCTCCTCGCCGCGCTCGGCAGCGACGCGGTCGGCGACGGCGACGGCGGAGATGCGACGAGGCTGCGTCACGACGACGTTGCAGTGAGCACCCGCGCCTGACTCTATACAGTCGTCGAGCAGGTACTGGCACACCTGCAGGTACAGTCTTGTTACTGGCACACCTGCACGTACAGTCTTGTACTACTGGCACACCTGCAGGTACAGTCTTGTACTACTGGCACACCTGCAGGTACAGTCTTGTACTACTGGCACACCTGCAGGTACAGTCTTGTACTACTGGCACACCTGCACGTACAGTCTTGTACTACTGGCACACCTGCATGTACAGTCTTGTTACTGGCACACCTGCAGGTAGTCTTGTTCAACTGAGTACTACTGACACACCAGAGATATGTACAGTACTTCTGAGTACAAATAAGTAGTGACTGTACTTATTATATGATGCCAATTAATCATTTTTTTAACCTGTATATAACGTAAGTTTTAGAGACTTTCCTATGGGAAGCTGCCGAATTTTTCAAGATGATGCACGCTACAGGGAACAAATACTGCCAATGTATAACATTTTACTGGCACTAGCACTTAACTAGCACGCGCAAGCATCACATGTACATGAGGTGACGGCATTGGTAATAACTATTACACTCATAAAAATGAGGACAAGGACCACATGCACCCCACACCTTCGTGGTCTGTCCTAGTATGATGGTGACGGCGTTCATACTACCTATTACACTCATAAAAACAAGGACAAGGACCACATGCACCCCCACCTGCGTGGTCTTGCCACAGCCCGTGTTGCCGCGGATGATGGTGACGGGATTGATACTATTACACTCATAAAAATGAGGACAAGCACCACATGCGCCCCCACCTGCGTAGTCTTGCCACAGCCCGTGTTGCCACGGATGATGGTGACGGGGTTGTCCCTGATAGCGGCGAGGATGTCGAGCTTCTTGGCGTAGACGGGCAGGCTGCCGCGCTCCTGCAGGAGCTGCTGCAGGACCTCGTCTGTCTGCAGCCGCTGCTGCCGCTCTGATAGCAGAGACTCGCTCAGCTGGTCCAGGTCAGCCTGCCGGCCAACAAAGTACATTTAAATAAAACCTTTACAAATATTCCAATACAGATTTATGTTACATTTGACGTATCTGATAAAACATTGTGATGTTCGTGTGAAGAAAAAGAATTGGAAGTTTAGCTTGAGGTCAAGCCAGAACACGCGGCCTGTTTAGTATCAGCGACCATTTAGAGGACATCAGGGCAGCCAAAGGCATCAGGGTAGCTAAAGGCATCAGAGCAGCCAAAGGCATCAGAGCAGCCAAAAGCATCAAAGCAGCCAAATGCATAGGGCAGCCAAAGGCATCAACATGAGATGATCATCAACATTGTTTCAACGTCACATCAACGTTACTTCAACATGAGATCGAAGTCACGCCCCACCTCAGCCAGCGGTCCCTCGTCGATGTTGCAGTTAAGCCAGGGGTTCCAGTTCTGCTGTGGGGGACACCAAGACACGATGCCTCCCTGCTGGGGGGCAGCAGACTCCTCGTAGGCGGCGAGCTGCACGGAGCTCAGCAGCGACAGGCCAGACCCGTCCGAGGGCAGCGGGCCCGTCTGTAAAAACAGGCATACACTCAGAAATATGTCCCAAAATTGGCAGCGGGCCAATTTTAGGTTTAAGCAACTTCAAGTTTGAGGTTTAAGCAACTTCAAGTTTGAAGAACCACGGTACTGCCACTACACTGGCAAATAATATCAAACACTAAATTATAGATAATATCAGCAATAAAGAAAAAGATAACACCATCTCTGCATATTGGTTTCTTCAAATGCAAATATAAAGCGTTCCATGCAACCCACAACAGACAGAAAACATAATGAAAAAAGAAAATTAATTCAAAATTTCCTTGCACGAAGACAATTCAAAGAATGAGACTCGCCAGGTTCTTCACAATAATGACAGATGCTGAATGTCGCGCACGACAGTAGCGGGCTGGACGTGGCACGAGTACGACAGCCCAAGGCTAAACGAACAGAACTCACGACAGCCACAAGCTGCACGAATATGACTCACGACAGCCTCAGACTATGCAAACCCGACTCACGACAGCCACAGGCTGCAGGAACACGACTCACGACAGTCACAGGCTGCAAGAACACGACTCACGACAGCCACAGGCTGCACGACAACTAACAACAGCCACAGACTATACAAACACGACTCACGACAGTCACAGGCTGGACGTTGCACATTTCGAGCGTAGCATCGATCTGCTGGCAGAGCTCGTGGCTGAGGTTGACAGGATAAGGCTTGATGTCGTCGCCTTCTTTCTTCTGCTTGAGGGAGCCCGTGAACGCCTCGATCACGTTCAGGTGATAGAGCTGCCGTACCAGCGACAGCGCGCAGCTCTGGCTGGCCTGACGTTTGTTGGAGCCTGTCTCGCGGCCACTCACATCTGTAAATAGGGACAAACTTGAGTGTAAGTAGGGAGAAAATAATGTGTAAGTAGGGGCAAACTTGAGTGTAAGTAGGGACAAACTTGAGTGTAAGTAGGATCTAGTACTTATATTAAAGATCGTGATGAAATGTTTATTCCACCTAGGGGAGATAATTCAGCCAAGTTTGTTATACGAGACAGCTTATTAACATCAACAATTGTTATAAAATTCAACGCGCCTATACACACGCATTTAATCTAAGGTTACTTATTTAATACCTCAACAGTCGTAACAGTATGGGAGATGAATAAAACAGATCTTTGCATGAGTTTTTAGCAGAAGGAACAGTACCTAAATGAATAATGTAAGACGCGTAAAGAACTGCAGATTAATTGCAGACTTAAAGGCCCATTTGATGGTGATTAAGATCCATCCCGCGCATCAAGGCAGGGATCACACCATACCGCCAGGCCCGTGCCAAGCATATGCTGGTCTAATATTATTTAAAGCATTTCTAAACGTGCATTCACACCAGCCGTGCAGGCACCTGCCGTGCTTCTGGTGTGAATGCTTCTCTGGAAATGCATTATAGAATATTGGACTGGACCGTGACTGGCATATGCCTGGAGGTGTGATGTGTTCCCGGCCCTAAGTCTCATCGTCTGCTAGTGAGTGACTGAGTCTCATCATCTGCCAGAGAATGACTTAGTCTCATCGTCTGCCAGAGAATGACTTAGTCTCATCGTCTGCCAGAGAATGACTTAGTCTCATCGTCTGCCAGAGAATGACTTAGTCTCATCGTCTGCCAGAGAATGACTTAGTCTCATCGTCTGCCAGAGAATGACTTAGTCTCATCGTCTGCCAGAGAATGACTTAGTCTCATCGTCTGCCAGAGAATGACTTAGTCTCATCGTCTGCCAGAGAATGACTTAGTCTCATCGTCTGCTAGAGAATGACTTAGTCTCCTTGTCTGCTAGAGAATGACTTACGTCTGCCAAGACTGTTGACGAAGAAGCTCATCTCTGCCACGAAGCTCCTATGGGACATTCACATCAATTAAAACACGTAAATAACAACAATAATATTCTATAGAGCGTAATACTAAGTTTATTAATAACATGGTAAAAGGTGTTCAGCATTCGGAGCCAATAATTTCAAAGAATTATTTGTTCAGCCGATAATTGGAAAGAAGAGAAAACGTCAAGTGGATTTAGCAAGTCTTCATAGATAACCTTTGGGAGAACATCTCCAAAATTAGTTCAAGAAATACTAATGTAATCAATTATGAATGATAATTTGTTTACATAAATGGAACAATTTTGGTATTGAGTTCTCAAGTTTTTTGTGTAAATTTGACTAGGTATATTGATTGTGCTAGAAATCATGTAAATTTTTGTTGAAACAAAGATGCTGGATACTGAAACAATTTCGATGAAAATATGAAAATTTATATTGCATTTTCTTGGCTTTAAGCTTATTGTAAACTTACGATTTAAGCAAACCGATGATAAAAATTCTTATTTCTTGGTTTGAGATGCTTCACATTCTCAAATTTTTGTCTTAATCAAGAGTAAGAGTGAAAAATGCTGCTTCAGTCATGTTTTTACTCAAACTAATGGCTTAAATGGGCAATAATGGCCTACGGGTTTGCACGTACCGTGCTGCTTATATGCATAACAAGATATTAAAATTATTTAATAACAAGACATTTAGATATAACAATTTTCGCTAAAATGTCCACGATTAGCAGTTTGCTGCACTGCTGAAATGAACATTAACTGAGTTATAATGAGTCTAGCATGCAACAGGTGCAAGCGTGTTGTAATGAGGCTGCTATAATAACTGCTAGACCAGGGTGAGCGAAATGCTCTTCGAATACCCAGTCTAATATTTGTCTGAGCAAAATTAGTTTTAAGATTACAACTCGTCTCTTCAATGACATGAATCAAATCAAATGTTTATGAAAACTAAAGTATGGTTGTCTTTTTAAATGGCAACAGCACATTCATGCCAATATCTGCCGATATGAAACTCAAGATAACCGTTTATTAAATAGAGATTCTTAATTTAATGTATAAATATTTTGCTTATCAATAGTTTTGCTTCATAAACAGACATAAATGATGATTAAATAAGGATGATTGCTTACTAAATACTGAATCAAAATGATGAATGGTTTAATCGAGAATATTCAGTTAAATATCTAGACGATTGCAAAATAAAATTGAGATGATGACTTATTTAATCAAGAATGTTTATTGAAAAATCTATATGCCCAAAAACTTGAGATGATGACTTGTTTAATCGAGAATATTTAAAAATCTAGACGATTGCCCTATAAAAATTTATGATGACTTATTCAATCAAGAATATTCATTGAAATATCAAGACGATCGCCCAACAAATCGAGATGAGCTATTTAATCGAGAATGTTTATTAAAATATTTAGACGATCACCCAATAAATCGAGCTGATGAAACTACTCACGACTCACCATGGGGGCGTGTAGCGGCAGTGTGGGAGCAGCGTCTGACGCACATACGCTGGAGGAAGAACACGGCTCAATGGTTGACACGAGGGAACCTCAACGCATGTTAGGGTTGCCAGATGCCACAAAACGGCCAAATCAACTTACAAAAAATGCTAAAACAGCCAAAGGGGCCACGAATGACATAATCAGCTTTCAAAAAGGCCAAAAATGGCCACAATTCAGCTTCAATGATTTTTCGAATTCAAAAGTTATATTAATTTAAAAGGCCAAAAATGGCCACAATTCAAGTTCGATGATTTTTTGAATTCAAAAGTTACATTAATTTTCAAACTCCTCAATTGGAAAAAGGCCCAAGTAAGCGAATTTGGCCACAAACAGGCACATCTGGTAACCCTTGTCGTCAAGAACGCCATCATGCATAGTACTGACCAGTAAACCATGCACAGGTGAAATGTTAATTCAAATCAAATATCAATTCTTCGGCAGCTATTGTTTGCAATAAATATTCAAATTGATCAATGTTTGTTCAGTGGCATGGCGGCATCGCTGACGAGTTTAACAGCAAAGAAATGCACAGGTCCTGGAAATAGTTCCTCAGGTCCAGAGAATATACGAGGCTGCTTGGAAGAAGTTCTACTGCAGAACTTGAACCAAGCATGTAATGGTGCTGGGTATATCAGAACGGGCTTATTTTCTGTATGTTATAAGTGATTTTTTTAACTCGTGCTCCGGCATTAGCCAAAATTTTCTATTATCGCAGATAATTCAGGTATTCAGTCAGATCTGAGTTTATTTATCTCCCGTAGTTAATAGTTTTTCAGTCCAGTTATTAGTAGCTAATATAGGTACAGCTCTTTACTTTACAGTTCTTTTCTATTACAGTTCTTTAATTTACATACTATCATCAATTCAGAACTATTCACGACCTTTCAAGAGATATTTTTTTAACTATAAGTACTTGCCTAGTTCTTAGATTTAATTTAATAACTTTTAGACTGTTTAAAATCAGTTCTTGTGCCCTTGTTCTGGCAAGAAATAATTCAAGAAATCGAACCGTGAGGAACCATTTCCAGGGCCCAGGCCACGTGTGTGGGCCCTGAGGTGAGGGTCAGCGGGGGGCCACACCCGCAGGGGGGGATGAGCCCCCCGGTGCCCTGCAGAAGATGAGGGGAGCCGTGTTCTCCCTCCTGCTGGTGGTGACGTCTGATATACTGGCTGACTTACTCAACATAAACTGTCTTACTACTCAATATAAGCTATATTCAACACAGAGTGACTTATGGCACAGAGTGACTTGTGGCACAGAGTGACTTAGTCAACATAAACTGTCTTACTACTCAATATAAGCTATATTCAACACAGAGTGACTTATGGCACAGAGTGACTTGTGGCACAGAGTGACTTATGGCACAGAGTGACTTAGTCAACATAAGCTGTCTTGCTACTCAATACGAGCTGCCCTATTCAACGCAGGGTGACTTATTCAACGCACGCTATCTTACTCAACATTAAGAGCCATATTCAACACAAGCTGCCTTCACAAGTCAGTCCCTGGACATACATGAATTTGATATACGTGCTTGTATAAAAAAACTCAAATTTGAACACAAAGAATAAAATTTTTGTGGATTTTTTTAATAGATTTCATCTCTTTTTGTGAGACTTGACTGCTGCTGCGATGCTCTATTATAATATAAATCAGAGCAATTATTACGAATAAATGAGATGGTAATTAAAGTTATAATATAAATCAAGTGAGAGCAATTATTACGAATAAATGAGATGGTAATTAAAGTTACTTAAGTTCACGTGGTTGGACGTAATTTCACCTCAAGTTGTGATACGTTGAGCAAGAATGGCGAGCATAACATGAGAACTGTGGCACTTACCTGCATGAACTGATCATAAGCGAAGTCTTATTTATATCAGGCAGTATAATACCGTAAAATGGGGTAACTTAGACCGGCGGGGTTTTTAGCAAAAAATATAATTGATTTTACCACCCGGTCTAAGTTACCCCAAGAGCTGGGGTAACAAAGACCACCACTTTTTTTGAAATTACATAAAGACTATGAGAGGCAGGAGCCAGCAATTTATGGTGAGTGAAGCTAGAGTATAGAACTGTATTTTGCATGTTTCAATTCAAGTGTAATTTAGCTAGTAAAAAAATGGCATCATTTATAAAAATAAAAGTGGTCTAAGTTACCCCATTTTACGGTACATTGTATATGTCGTGCCGAAATCGCGGAATTGCCGATTCTATGGAATCGGCAGCCAGTTACCGAATCTGAAGAATCGGCATTTCGTTGCTGATTCAGGAAATCGGACGTTAGAATTACGTCATAAATCGAAAGTTGGAGTTAGAAAAGGTTAGGTCAAGTTCGCTCAAGTTCCTTTAGATTTAAATACCTATTTAAACAAGCTTGGCTGACTGACCTAACCCCAGATTCCTATAATAAGAAATGCTGATTCTGCCGATTCCATGGAATCGGCAATTCCGCGATTTCGGCACGACATACAGTACTAGTATAATGAAGTTACCTAACATTGATAGTGTGAGACTTAACGTCCTTCTAGCCATACACACTGAGTTAATAAGTGAAATAAATTAAAACGTAAGTGAACTAAAATGAAACGTCACATGAAGCAACAGAACGCTAGTTTCGAGTGTTCAATGAAACTAGTTAAGCTAGTTAACTATTTAAGCTAGTTAACTAGTTAAACCAGTTTCAGAAACTAATAAACTAGTTCCTGGACCACGCTAAGCCTACGATTACATGCGTACATTAACTGCAGTTTAATATCATTGGTCTCTTCAGTCCAAATAACTTGAGTACCAGACAAAGGGTTTATCTAGAGACGGTAAATCTCATTAAGAGTCATAGAGATACGAAATATCATTGATGAAACTTGATATGCGTAGGCAAAAGGTTATTCGCACTTGAGAGAAAAGATTGAAACTTTGTACAATAGAGATGCATTTTTTTCCTTGTGTTGGACTGTTGGACTTTCCGACAAAGATTGGTCAGCCTAAAGGGCATATCAGTGCCCTTTACCTGCTCGTGCTGTGAGTAAGAAATTGTGTCAATACTTAGACACTAAGTAGTCCTATTTAGACACTAAGTATTCACATTTAGGCACTAAGTAGTCTCATTTAGGCTAAGTAGTCCCATTTGGGCACTAAATAGTCCTATTTAGACACTAAGTAGTCCCATTTGGACACTAATTAGTCCTATTTAGACTCTAAGTAATCCCATTTAGGCACTAAGTAGTCTCATTTAGGCACTAAGTAGTCTCATTTAGACACTAAGTAGTCCCATTTAGACACTAAGTAGTCTCATTTAAACACTAAGTAGTCCCATTTAGACTCTAAGTAGTCCCATTTAGGCACAAGTAGTCTCATTTAGACACTAAGTAGTCTCATTTAGACACTAAGTAGTCTCATTTAAACACTAAGTAGTCCCATTTAGACTCTAAGTAGTCCCATTTAGGCACTAAGTAGTCTCATTTAGACACTAAGTAGTCCCATTTAGACACTAAGTAGTCTCATTTAGACACTAAGTAGTCCTATTTAAACTCTAAGTAGTCCCATTTAGGCACTAAGTAGTCTCATTTAGAAACTAAGTAGTCTCATTTAGACAATAAGTATGGGTAGTCTCATTTAGACACTAAGTAGTCCCATTTATCCACTAAGTAGTCCCATTTAGACACTAAGTAGCCCCACTTATCCACTAAGTAGTCCCATTCAGACACTAAGTGTAGACACGAGTGCCGTACTTGCTGTGGTCAGGTCCCACTGAGGAGAACTTGAACTCAGGCGCCTTCATGCGGCACTGCTGGAAGTAGATGTGCAGTCTGGACTTGGCGTTGTCGATGGTCCAGTTGCCGTGGATGGCCGCCGTCAGGTCCACGTCCTCCGCGTCCTCCACCAGCTGACGCTCCTTCACGCGGTCTATGTACGTCACGGTCCGCTCCCCACCCTCCTCCTGACGCGGCAGATATACGTTGCCCTCCTCCCTGGTGGGCATGGGTAGTGAGATGGGTGTGGGTGGTAAGATGGGCATGGGTGGTAAGATGGGTATGGGTGGTAAGATGGGCATGGGTGGTAAGATGGGCATGAGTGGTAAGATGGGCATGAGTGGTAAGATGTGCATGGGTGGTAAGATGGGCATGAGTGTTAAGATGGGCATGGGTGGTAAGATGGGCATGGGTGGTAAGGTGGGTATGGGTGGTAAGATGGGCATGAGTGGTAAGATGGGCATGAGTGGTAAGATGTGCATGGGTGGTAAGATGGGCATGAGTGTTAAGATGGGTATGGGTGGTAAGATGGGTATGGGTGGTGAGATGGGTATGGGTGGTAAGATGGGTATGGGTGGTAAGATGTGCATCGGTGGTAAGATGGGCATGAGTGGTAAGATGGCATGGGTGGTGAGATGGGTATGGGTGGTGAGATGGGTGCCCTGATCCCTGGAGGTAATTGGTATCAAAACCCTCTCCTTCAAGTGGTTCAGCATGACTCACTTGAGGCCAGGCACTGGAGCAAGCGGTTCAGAGGCCAGCGTGAGAGGCCCTGGTACACCAGGGGCAGCAGGCCCCGTGCTGGGTGCTGCCTGTAGAAGACACATACAATTACATACAATAGATTACACTTTTAATTAGCAAGCATAATTAAAAGCAAATTCTCAAGTCAGGCAAGCATGCCAATCATTGTACCAAAGCTCTGGTATGCATATAAAAAAATTGAGTGGCCAAGTGTGTTGCCAAAATTGTTAAGACACTCCATGCCACGTTTTTCTAGCCGCAAACTTGGCAAGAAGTGTCAGTAAAAATTAGATTTTCTATTTTCTAAGTAAATGTTGTTGAGAAGCCTAAAGGGTATTAGCCTACACCGGTTGACAAGGATGGAAAGTGAAACAAAAGTTTATGTTGCTTGCATCATACACAGACCAGCTAGCTTGTTACTGGTCTGCACCTGAAACAAGACTTTTTCTCTCCCCTCCATCATCTTTACTCGAGGTTAGCTTCACAACAAGCAAGCAGATGAGAGGGTTAACTACTACTGCTACTGCTCATACATGATGGAGGAATGAGGCAAAACATAAATACAAATAATACTACCTAAAATTAATAGTTTTAATAAACTTCAATATAAATATCATTTACAGTCATACGGATTTTGTTGGAGTAAAATTAGAAGGTTCAATTTATGACATTGTAATTAATAAATACACAAGACTATTTCTGATAAGTCTATTGCTTCACAAGGTAAGCACTTAGAACCCTGGTAAATTTGGTAATAAATTGTCACATAACTACTGAAAGATATAATTTGACAGATGTTTGAGCATTTTTGACTATCATACTGCTGTTTGGCAAATTTATATAAAAGCCACTATAAAATAAATGCTTTCATTTAAACTTTAAAAATAAATAAGGAGTTATGAGTGTAACTTAATTCTTACAATCAGTTATATATATTCTTCTATCAGGTTAAAGCATCAGGTTGTTCCATAACATGGAACATCAAAGATGATTATTTAGCAAGAAAAAAATTCAAGTAATAATAGTTATCAACAATGACTGCCTGTGTCATTATTACATACCATGAGGAACGGCACATCCTGAATTGTCACTTCCCCTTTCCTGATGAGGAACTGTATGAAGTCTTTGGCTGCATTTGCTTCTGCTTGTTTCTTGCTGGTGGAGTTGCCGATGGCGGTGTAGGCGTATGTCGGCACTTGGAGCTCACACAAGAACCGGGGGCGGTGGTGAGGTCCTGCAGTGGTGCCAACATAGACAAAGCATTACAAAAACAATACAAAAAAAATCATAAAACTTCCGTCAACTTTACATGACGATCATATAGCAAATTCTGAGGTATATTCCTTTATAAACATCCATGTGTCCATGGAATAGTGTGAAGATGGCATTAGTTTACAATGAATCAAATAATTACAAGCATGAATTTGAACCAAATTAACCAATCAAAATGCAATTGGCAAATAAACATAAAACTTTTCAAGCTTCTAGTATTCAACATAAATTAAGGAGTAAATTAATATGAGAGAAGTTATTTCAGGGATCAGGATAACAATAATGAAACTCCATTACATATAATATAATGGGCATAATTCTTGGAAATTATAGATTTTCCATTAATGGAAGAGTTTATGTATATGCAACACAGTTAAAAAAATTTGAATGTTTTGTTGATAATGATAATAAGAAAATTGAGCTTACAGAAAGCCATCTATATTTTAGAGGTGCCATTGCATTCAAAAGGTAAGACAGACAAATGAATGGCAATTCATGATGAATAGATCCGCAAATAGTTTTACAAAATGACAAATAACAAAAGTTGTTACAAAGTTAATACCAAATGAATAATTTATAAAATACATCAAACATCTTTTCTCACCTGAATGCCTCGTACTGTAGTTGGAAGTTAATTGTTTTTTCATGGTGAAATTATTCAGCCATGCTTTAGAATTATCAGTCATTGTCATGGAATATATAATCTTGTTTCTTCCTAATAAATTTTTGAGTTTTCAGCAATTTTACTTTCAATTTTGATCTTTGGAAATGCTTTGAATTTTTACCATGTCCAAAAGCAAAAAATCAGATAGGCTAATAATCATATATCATACTGTTGGTAAATTTAAACAGATTATATTTGTTTAAATACAAAGCTATGTAACCAAGCACTAGCAGTGAGTAAAAACTCAGAAGCAGCTAACTCACAGTTAGTCTCACACTAGTCACAGTCTCACTTAGTTAGGCCTTACCTAATGGTAGCAGGCTAGCTGCTACATAAGTGATAAGTCAAAACCAGATTTGAAACAAATCCATGCATGGATTGCATGCAATATTGCCCAGTCAAATTCAAATATGTATCATCAACACCAAGTTCTCTTTGATTGTCAGTTTACTTCATAGTTCATGGCAATTGGTAGATTGTCTGGCAGACAATGTGGCATAGCCTACTCTATATATACACACAGATACAGAACTGTGTAGTGAATAGTGAATACTATGCAAGATGACTAACTGGCAGTGTTGTTTAGTCATATTTTTCTTAGAAGGAAATAAATGAACATTTTTTGCAGAATGAAAAAAATCACTACTACTCTGTCAGTCTGTCTCTTGTATCATAATTATATACTTTTCTTGATTTTTAGACATGGTTCTAAGTTCTAACTTCTCTTCTAGGCTCTAAGCCTCTAGCCTCAAGGTTCTTAACTGATTGAGAATTAATTTTTCGAGGATAAGGATATGATGGAGTCATCCTCTATCTTGGTCCAAGACCACCTCACAGTCACGGCACGGGTAACACCCATAGACCACCTCACGTGATTGAGTTGCTACCATCTCACGGATAACGGCTCAACCGTGCACAATGTCCACTCAGCACAGTCTGCACAGACAGCACCCACACAGCAGCAGCACCTGCGTGTCTTTCTTTCTTTTGTTTCAAATTTGTGGGAGCCTCTGAAAACTTGTCCAATGTGGCCCCATGACAGGGTTTTGAGTTATAAGTGCCTAAGTAATTTCTTCACAAGTTCATGTGATGCATTTTGGACTTCACAGTTACTCTTAATCAGTACACAACCCTGCCTAACTCCAGCTCCCTGCCTATCTCAAGATCTTCCTATTCTTAGCACCTGTTGGAGAGAACACACCACAGCGGAGCTGTAAAACACGGCACTGATGGCAGAGCCGTGGAACACGGCAGAGCCGAGAAACACGGCAAAGCCATGAAACACGACTAAGCCGTGAAACACGGCAAATCCGTGAACACGACAAATCCGTGAACACGGCAGAGCCGCAAAACACGGCAGAGCTGCGGAACACTGTCCAGTCGCGAAACATGGCAGAGCCGCGCAAGATTGTCTGTAAAAGATCATTATTCATGAAACTAAGGGTTTCATAACTTAGCCTACATGTCAATAAATTCCCAAAACATGGGTTTCCCACATTGATCTATTCATACACAAGGGCCTCCTCAGAGTCAGATGTCAGAGAGAGGAGGCCAAACAACCAGTTCAGACTGTGCATCCTAATCCTATGATCCTAGTGCCAAAGAAGTCTAAGTCCGACTTAGTAATTAAATAATTAATGACAATGGTGCCCCCACCTGCACCTGGGAGGCTGAGGATTTTGAGGAAGGGGAGAGGAGGATGCCTGAAACGAAAGCAGAGCCTCTCCCCCTCCCCTCCCCACAAAGGTCATCACCAGGTGCAGGTAATGCACACTCGACCCATTCTGCAATAGGCCATGGGCCTATTTCTTCAACGCCGACACTTCTATTCTATAATATGAACCAAGAAAGTAATTTAGCACCAAAATGCAAACCCAAACTATATTCAATCATAGTTTCATACACACGGTTAAACACACCAGTGGCCAGTGGGTGACCCAACAATAGGTGTCCCCAGGTTAGCTTTTACTCAAGGCATGCCCTTCACTTTGCGGCACCGTCTTTGCATCATACGAGAGTCACAGCACTAGCTCCGTCCAACTGAAAGTCCAGCCTCACCCGCGTGTCTTTTTTTTATAATTGATTTGTAGGCTTCGGGTATGCCGGTAGCACACCTCGCAGCTTGAGCATAAATGGGGTTTTGGACACTTCACTTCACTTTTAGATCTCTTTACTAGTTTACTTTCTAGCACCTCCACCAGCCAGTGCGGCAGTAAATACTGAAAAGAAAAGGTACAATTAGGCTTGGTAGAATATTTACAGCCTGGTCACCATGTTGCAGTTAAGCAAATATTGACCAAGATGTCGGATGGCAGCGGTGCGTCTCCTCATTGGGGCATCCCCACCGCCGAGAGCTGAGGAGAGATCCCAGGGCAGAGAAAGACCCTCCAGTCTAGTACGGAAATTTCTTCGCTGGTTGATGAATTGTGTGCAGTGCAGGATGAGGTGCCTGATTGTGCCCTCCACATTGCATATTGGGCAGTTACTTGAGTCAGCTAAATTGAATCTGGCCAGATGAGCATTGACGCCTGCATGCCCAAGGCATAGACGTGACACAGCGCATTCAACTGAGCGTGGCAGCAATCCATAGTCCACATAAGATATCTCAGGTCCCAAACTTCTTCGGAAGGTCCCTTTTCTAGGTATGTGCACAAAAAAAAAATTTTTCCCTTTGATCATAATGAAAATTATACTGCTGAAAAGAGAAAAAAATTTAGAAAAATATCACATAAGTATGAGTGGAGTAGGTCGAAAAATGAAAAAGATATGAATTTTTTCCTTTTTTCAATTTCACCCCAAAAATGGACCAACTTCTGTCACTTTTTTTGGAAAAACTATCATTTGTAGGTTTCCTACGTCCAGACCGGTGAGTACCTGGGGTCTTGTTGTGAGGGGGAGTGCTTGGGTGTGCCTGTGGTGTCTATGAGAGTGATGCAACTACACTGCCTTAGTGCTATACATCAGGGTGATCCATGGACCAGGTAAAGAGTGCTCTTACTGTGCTAGTCTACTGTTGAGGAATCACCACCATTTCTTACTGTGCTCTCCTTTCCAGGACCTTTATTTGTCTCCATGCCAACCAAGACTTCTGGGCTATTGCTTATCTTACTGTAATCTTAATTCCCTTGTGTTGCAGGTTAGGATGTTCTGTTTAAAATTATTGTTTACTGCAAAGTTGGACCATATTGTACAATTCGGCTCTCGGACAGAATATTGCAGTCACCCATGAGGGATTTTCCTCTGGAGGGTGGTTGCCTAGCTTATCCTGTGAAGGATATTTGGTGCCCTCGGGATTATCTTGTACTAATGGCTCTTGACTGTGTTCTTAGCTTAAGTATAGTGTTGTTTGGGAATGACCTGTGTTTCATTGTCCCAAATTTGTTCTCCGGGTTGGAGGTAGGCTTAGCTAGGTATTGTAGCTTAGGGTGATTGAGCTAATCTTCACATAGCTTTTGTGAACCCCTGCTGACCGGACCGCAACATCGTCCAATCGTGAGAATTTTTTATCTATTCTGGATGTGTTTTTTTTATTTTAGAACTTATTCATTGCAATAATTTGTCTACTACCCTACAGATAGAAGACTAGTTAACTTGATTAGGCGTTCGCAACACGGGATTGGATTTCAAACTACGCGCGATTTCGGAAGCGGGACTATTTCTAATGAGCTCCAGTTGATCTATTTTCATTGCAGTGGAAGGTGGTCCAACGCGGTGGTAGCTGGTAGGAACCGTAGGGTTGGTTTTTCGATACGTTTTCATATATGGACATGAGAATATATTACCTATACAGAATTCCATACTGACTTAAAGGCAGAATTGGATGGAATAAATTTCAGTTTCATGGTCTTGGCACCATAATTGAGCTTAAAAATATGAAATTAAATAGAATACATAAATAAAATGTGCTAGTAATAATAATATTATTAATTTTTAATAATATTAATTCTTAACTAATTATAATAAATATTAATGAATATTGATATCAATAATAATATTAAACACTGATCATCATCATGTCACGTCTCATCTCGTCTCATCTCATGTCTTGTCTCATGTCTCATCTCATGTCTTGTTTCATGTCTCATCTCATCTCATGTCTCGTGCCTCATCTCATGTCTTGTCTCGTGCCTCATCTCATGTCTTGTCTCATGCCTCATCTCATGCCTCGTCTCGTGCCTCATCTCATGCCTCGTCTCATGCCTCATCTCGTGCCTCGTCTCATGCCTCGTCTCATTTCATGTCTCGTCTCATTTCATGTCTCGTCTCATTTCATGTCTCGTCTCATTTCATGTCTCGTCTCATTTCATGTCTCGTCTCATTTCATGTCTTGTCTCATCTCATGTCTTGTATCGTCTTATGTCTCGTCTCGTCTCATGTCTTGTCTCATGCCTCGTCTCATGTCTTGTCTCGTGCCTCGTCTCATCTCATGTCTTGTCTCATGTCTCATCTAACGTCTCGTCTCATACTTGTCTCATGTATTGCCTCGCATCTCATCTCACGTCTCGTCTCATGCCTCGTCTCATGCTTGTCTCAAGTCTTGTCTCGTGTCTCGTCTCCTTATCTCATGTCCAATCTCATGTCTCGTCTTATGTCTTGTCCTATACTTCCTATGTCTCATCTTATGTCTCGTTCGTGATGCGGTACTATAGTACCGCATCACGAAACGCCATTTCGGATGTCATTCACAGGTCAGATCTCAAACCAAAAATCGTCTTTTTATCAGACCTCACCATCCCGATTTGATGATAGGCAGAGCTTCTGACATGTTACAAGCATGTTCAAAGAACTCTTAGCTTGCTCTGATAACATTTTGGTAAATTTTGTAATACGATATCACATTTTATTTTCAGCACAAAATGGCACCCTTTGTGAATGCCCTCAAGTAAACTATGCTGATTTCTCGAAAAATGAGATGGCGTCGTCATAATTAAAGTTTTTTTTGTTCATTTCCAAGCATAATCCGGTTGAATAATGGTTTTGGTCGGACAGGACTTGCAGAACTAAATGTCTTCCGCGCGCGCTAACGAAAATTGCTGGTCCGCCATTTTGCTTGGTTTGTTGTGGTTCGTACGTCGTTACGGTCGTTTGTGCACATACCTACCTTTTCCTGTTTCTTGTACGTCATCTGACCATTGGCAAGCCCATTCTTGATTGGTGACTGGTGAG